ATATTTGTCACTTTGTTAATTTTTTGATGTTACATTTGGAATTATCACAGTTATTTGATTATCCTATTCTATATAAATNTATAATTATATTGTTAATAGAAATTATGACGCTTGTCATTATAACATTTCTTTGCCTCTCCTATTATATATATATAGATGATATAGATTTCTTTGACTCTCCTTATATATATATATATATATATATATATATAGATGATATAGATTTCTTTGACTCTCCTATTATATATATTATAAACTAAATAACTAATTAGTAACCAATTATTCCATGTGGCATTTTTTTAGGCTGCCACTTGGCTTAAGGAGAGGGCTTTTTCCTCTCCTTTTAATAATATACAGATAGATATATAGATATAGATAATTTTTATTTTAAAATTATTTTAAAACTCAAACTTGAAACTACTTCCCGATTTGAATGAGTAGTTCTTCTCTTTTTTCATTTTTTATAGCTATTTTTTTTGCCTTTTATTTTAAAATANTCAAATAATTTTTTCTTTATGTATTTTTATTTATTATATTATCCAATATTTAGTATAATTATATTGTTAATAGAAATTATGACACTTGTCATTATAACATTTCTTTGCCTCTCCTATTATATATATATAGATGATATAGATTTCTTTGACTCTCCTATATATATATATATATATATATATATAATTAAAGTGCTATAGAAGGCGACTCCTAGAACATGAAGCATTTCTTTGACTAGATCCTAGAAAGTACTTATCTGGATAAATAAATAAAGCAAAATATTGATATATATTTTGTGCAGGTGCTCAACAACATAATGAATTTGCATTGACAGTCTCATATTTATATGCTAAAGCTTCGTAGCCACATGTATATACTTGTAACCATACGAGTTCTCTTATGAAGAATAGACGTTATAGTGTCTCAAAGATCTAGGATTGACTAAAGACAAAAGGGAATGCCTTTGTTAAGTGTAACACAATGTCTTCATGTTTGGATTGACATTTGACCTTTGTGTCCATAAATATTTTCGAGTTTAGCTGTATTATGATACTTATAAGCAGGAAAGAATAACATTTCTTATACACTTGATTTTGATTGGATTTACTAGTACCAATTCCTTGATATGATACTAGTACGAAAGTACAAATTATAGGGAGTTATTTTCTTGACTATTGATCAACATCAAATATGGTTGTTTAATTGATATTCATTTATTTTACCATTTCAGGTCATATATTATGATGTCAGAAAATTGGCATGCGGCAGTCACTATGATCAAGAGTTGGAGCATCTTTCTTATGTCATATGTTGTCTAATATGTAACTACTTGATACAATAATTTGTCAAACGCAAAGAGACAGTAATTATTAGATTCAAATAGTTTAGCTTTTTTATAAAATTGTTCACGGCTTCAAATTATAATTAGAAGTTTTTGTTTGTTGCGGATTTAATGAAGTGCATTATGCTTTTTCAAGCGAAATATTATATAAAAGTTTTGAGTGTAAATAGGCATAATTTGCATTAGTAAATACTGGTAAATCCTTTATTAATTTTTAGCACAATAAAAATAGACGTTAATAGGTACTCTTTTTATGTCCATTAGATAAATGCTTATTGTCCGTAACAAAAGCTGGCAAATAGAGGAGTAAAAGTGAAATCAATGATAGTTTTAGTGGCCATTATATTTGTTGCCAAAAGGGGTTCCTTCTACCAGCAATTAGATTAGTTTTTTGCGGCAATAATAAAAGTTGCAAAATGTTATAACCTATGGAATTTTTGGGGAGATACAGTGGCCATTGTAATAGCCAGTAAAAAATTGCCGTTATATCTGAAGGATTTTTACCGGCCATAATAGTGATTTTTACCAGCAGTCCCTCTAATGGCCGCTAAAGCCTTTGCCGCCGCCAGATACAATGGCTAATATCGTAATAAGGTTTCAAGTAATGTATAGGATCGAAAAAATCCCAATACTTAATGGCCGGTAAGTATTTTAGTGGCCATTTCTATTGCCTCTAAAGAGCATTTATATTGCCACTAAAAGCCTTTTTTGTTGTAGTATATATACTAGTGTCGGATTCAATTAATTTCGACACGAAGAATATCTTTATTGAGATTGTTTACTATGGCAATCTCAATCTTTGTGTACTAAAATGTAATGGTTAGTTGTTGTATCCGCAAATAATTCATGATATGCAGTTCTTAACACTATTGATTACTCACAAGTCACAACCATTTCTATAATTTGGTATATCCATTAGACTAGAGCTATTAAAAAAAGTTACTAGTTTTTATCTTGAAAAAGAATAAGTCAAGGAGAGAAATTTTGCTTTTAGGAGCAAAATGATTTTGAGGGGGAAAAAAAAGAGAAGAAAAGAAAAGAGTGAAAGTAATTAACTTACGAGTTACGACCTTCTTCAAAAGACTTCACCAAAAACTTGTTCAAAGAACTTTTCCTGAATATAATACTATTGGAGGCATTTGCTTGGAAAACTGTGGAACATTTTTCTCAAAGTTTTTGGAGCAGAGAACACTTATCTAAATATTGTGTATATAGCCAAATTTACAGAATCACAACCAAAAAACTAAATTATTTATTTTCTTTTTTAGATTTTTCCTTTGGTAACATTATACTCCTATATTGTGTATATAGTTTTAATAACATAGAAATTATAGAATTAATGTATGTATAGTTAGTGAAAAATTCAGAGTTTCTCTTTTTGAAATAATTGAATTGATTTCAAATTAGTAATTTTTTTAAACTCCCAATTTTTTAATTTTATAAATCTGCGTAATATTAGATATAGTGAAGGAGAAACTTTTGTCCAGAGGAAGAGGAAAAAGCTGAAGGAACACAAGTGCCTGTTGTATTGTGAAAAATAGTAATTATGTGATTGTATGATTGTGTGTGAGAGAGATAGCGAGAGCCTAAAAGAGTAAAAGAAAAAAGAAAAAAGAAAAAATTGAGGCTCTGCCGGCAACTTTGCCGGAATACCGAGATTTTAGTGGAATGTGTGTTAGTTTGAACTGCATGGAAAAAAGAAGGTATTTGATTGATAATACAATACACTAATCTCGTGGGACCCATTTTTTCCATTTGTCACAATTTGAGAGGACCCTCACACAACTATTGGTTGTTGCGTGAGACCCAAGGTAAAATTTCTCGTGCAACATGTACAAACTTTTCAAAACAAACCAGGAACTTCTCTCTTTTTGTCTTCTTTTTTTGGGTAAATCCGAAAAACTTAGGATTACAAAGTGTTGTATATACTAAATCTAATCTAAAAAAAAACATCATATTATGTGTTTGTCTAGATTTTCTTATTATAATTGGTTTTTCTATTTCATGAAGGAAAGAACAACAGATTTATTATAATTGGGTTTTTCTTTTCCTAGAAGAAAAATATAATTCTTCCATATTTGGCTAATCCTTTTTCTTGTAGGAAAAGGTTTGGAATTCTATAAATTGAAGATTCGTCCTTCTCATTCAGCAGCATCCACAATATAGCCATAGGGGGCTTGAGAGTCTTGTTTAGGGGGAGAACTTTACGGGACAAGCTTAGTGTGTCACTTGTGTTTGCCTCTTCGTGAGGTTGTTCTCTCGATATTTTGCACTTTCTTTTTTATATAGTGGATTACTCATCTCCGCTGTGGACGTAGGTCAGTTGACCGAACCACGTTAAATGTTTGTGTCTCTTTTGGTATATTTCTCTTTTGTTGTTTGATTTATCGTCGTTGAAAGTTGGCTTTACTAGCTTTCCGCATAACACCTGATTATTACGGTCCTAACACATCAAAGGTTATAGTGAAGTGTCAAGTGCTTTTTTATACTTAATCGGAAGTTTCAGATCAAATCTTCGGTATCAATTCTCTTTTTATAAGGAGCTTTTTATCCTCTAAATGAAATTTTCCAGCATGTCTTGCAAACAGTGTTATAAAAGGGCGCGCTTAAAGCGCACTTAAGCCCTAAAGCGAGGCTCAAAACACGTGGAGCGCTTCGCCTCGCTTAACGGGCGCTTCAGTGTTGTCATCAAAGCGCTAAGACATGTTTTTCTTTGCCAATCATCGTAATCCTTAAGAGGCGACACTAAACAACTGATATTTGCTTTATCGTAAATTTCTTCAATTTTTTTGTCCATATATTTGGTATTCATGCTTATAGATATTAGTCTTGGACTACACATACATATTTGTAATTTTACTCTATTTGCGCCTTTCTTCCTTAAAACTCACGCTTTATTTGCACTTTGTGCTTAAAGCTCCAACAGATCTTAGAATTTTTTTGCGCTTTTCGTCTTTGATAAGGGTGTTTCCAAATTAATCGGCAACAGAGTAGGTACCGGAGAGCAAGCGAGTGAGGGTCCATTTTGTCCTGATTTCAACTTAAAAGTGTAAAGCTTTGGAGGACAGGCAAATCCTATTGAGAGTTGTGGAGATTGTGTTGGACTACTGAGAATGTTCCTTTTTATTACTAGTAATTGGTAACCCGAAACACAAAGGCTAGTTTGATACGAGGGACAAGGAATAATTAATTTTGGGACTAAATTTAAGAAAAATATCCCATGTTTGGTTGAAAGAAAATTGCGGTATAATTAATCGCTGGATTAATTATCCCGCGTTTGTAGTGCTTTTTTATTCCCATGAAAAGGTGGAATAACTAATTCCGAGATAACATCTTTCCAACCAAACGACCCCTTAGAGCACGAAAGGGCATTACCATTATGCCTAATATCTTACCTTGCCACAAATACGATAGAAGGAACAAGCTCCTCTACTAGAAATATACAGCAACTAAGTTGGTGTTACAATGAGACCAGCTGTTCCAAGTAGTTAAACTAAAATACAGCTCTAATATTCTTGAATTCTACCACATGGGACTTCCACCCTATCTCCATAAAGAATTTGTCTTGCTTGCATAGAAATATCCAGAGCTTGCATCCTAACAAATATTAGTCCAACAGTCTATATGTTGGCTTTCTTAATAAAAGATCATGTGTAATAGATAATAAGATCAATCATCCCCTCATCCAATTTATAAAACAAAATAAAACCACATTTATGGTTTCACTAGTTTCTTAGTATGTAATCAAAAGACAGGTTAGTTGATATTTGATAACAAAGACCTATTTCAAAGAGGCTCTACTTCATGTTTTGCCTACTACTTGTAATTTATCTATTCAATGGATTTATTTTCCTGCGATCCAGAGAATCAATACAATTACAGCCCAATTGAGCTATGTACCCCATCAAATTGTGTAACGTCCCATTGAACCCTGAAACACGTCCACCATCCAGCGCTCATTCCCCAAGCAGGAATAGTACACCTAAACTACAAATATCTTAAGTTTGGAAAAAAATGAATTTTGCATGCATTACTACCAAAGAGATGATAAACAAAATTTCAACAATTCGTATCAGTGAAAGACACTTGTATCTTTGTGGTGTCAGTTAATTCCCCTGGTAAGTTGGCTCCATACCTTCAGCAGCTAGTTTTATTCGTTGGTGATGCTCGGCAACCTTGTAATCTACAATTTCCTTGAACAATTGCGAATCAAGAACACAATCTGGGCTCCCATATACAGTTGCTTGAACACTTGCCATAAGTTTTGCAATCTCACGGCCAGAGAATCCTTCTATCTTCTTAGCAGCCTCTCTAATCACATCATCAGACAAATCTTGTATAGTTATCCTCTTTTGTTGGTTCTTCTTGAAGAGGTGTCCCCACTTAGAATTGCTGTCACTGTCTCCTTCACCAGCAAGGTACTTGTTCAAATAGAGCTTCAGCAATTTGAAACGCTCTTCTTCTTGAGGGAGAGGGAATTCGATAACTTCGTCTATACGGTCAGTGACAGCACTATCTAGATCTCCTGGCCTGTTGGTAGCAAGGACAAGAACTACATCTCGGGACTGGTCCCCTGTTCGAAAGAGTAAGGCATTTAAAGCACTTCGCTGAGCTTCACTCATATATGTACTATTCCGCCTGCAATCAAAGAAGTGCACAGTCCTTTAATATTGTATTTCTTGTAGTTGGTGCTACATCTAGAAAAATAACTCAAAAACTGCAACATATCATTTCATTAACCAGTTAATAAGTAGCATTCTAATAGGAAGCAGCTGAACGTAAATTTAACTTACTCGCACAAAAATGCATCAGCCTCATCAATGAAAAGCAGTAGGCCTTTATTTGATTTTTTAGCCCAATCAAATATCTCGTGAATTTTGGTGACAGCCTGTGCACCCAGGGGTGCAACATCTCCTCCAGTCATCATGGCATAGTCCAAACCCTGTAAAATTCACACAAAATTTTCAGTTATCCCTTCAGAAATGCAAGCAGCAGGAGCTGGACTTTTCTAACTCCTCTTAAAATTTTGTGGTGAGAGGGGAAAGCATTCAATTTCTGGCTATAGCTCAGAGAAGTGGGCGTTAGTCCATTTATTGCCATTATCAGTTATTTATACTGCTCAATTGATGAAAGCGTATTTAGGTTCGGAAATATAAGGAGGGAGCAATTAATGATGGTTGCCCAGGAATTCAGTATTAACAGCACGAGGAAAACAGCATTCCTATTATTATTATTATAAGAAAAAATACGAGAGAAGTGTACCGATTTTCTTGCGATCTCCCTAGCAACCATTGTTTTCCCAGTGCCAGGAGGACCATAAAAGAGCATATTGCGAAATGGTGCCTGGTGAGACTTGGTGTTTGCTGTGGCCCTAGCTAGGTGTTCTATTCTCCTCTGAAGAGAAGGATGCAACACAATGTTTCCAAAAGCAGATTTATTTTGTCCAGGTGCTGCCAATCCAGCAGCTGTACCAAACTTGAATCCTTTGTCAGCTACTCGAGAAATCATCCCTGACCAAGGAAATCTTGACATAGATGATTCCCGAATTAATGATGGTTGTCCAAGAATTCTGTTAATATATCCCCAGGTAACTCTGGCACCTTCCCTGTATGAATAGAAAAGATAAGAACAAATGCCTAAAATTACTATTCGAAATACAAAATACCAATGTTCCAAGGAGATATAATTAAAATAGGACACAAAACACGAATTGATCATCAGAGAAGACCCACAGCAAAACCTCTCAAGACTAGCAAAATGATGATTATGTGATTGTTGGCAACATTGTCATTCCAACAGCGATTACCTGTGCAAATATTTCCTAACTTATAATTTTTTATGCATAAGCAAGACTGACTGTGTCGTAAGGTGCTTTCAATGTTTAAATAATGACCATATTTCAAATAATCAAGAAACAAAGACTTGCTAAAGTTAGAAAAAATGTAGCTTGTCTACAAAATTCTCACATAAATACCAATTCAAAGCAACAACCAGATCTCAACAGTTTAAACTTCCTCCTATGAACCCCTAAAAGAGAACAGTGCTACATTAATATAATGTTCTCGAGTTAAATTTCATTTATTTGCTTATAAGATTGAGTAAACAGAAGCGAACAAGAAAATAACCAGAATTCCAGGGCAGAATGACGCCAAGATTAGTGATCAATGTGAAAACAAGCCTTTTCCCTCTTGCCAATGGGTAAAAAATGTTGAAACTGTTTATCAAGTGGGATATAAATTGACATGTTGAACAGCTAAATGTTCCAGGAATTATAGTAACAAACTAAGGTGATAAAATAAGGGAAATATGTAAATGTAACGTAGTTAATTAACTAGCTATATATAATTATTAACAAACTCCAGCTAAGATGATCACACGGCCAATAATGAATGATGCCTTCTTCCTCTTTTTATAGAGAACAAAGCTTTCCATTTGTTTCTTGCTTTCTCTAATTAATTTCAATACATGAAACTTTTTCTTCACACTCAATTGAATGAGTTCAAACACATGTAAGTTAATGTCTTTTTTTTTTATAACCGTGGTGTCCGGACCAGCTTGGGCGCACCTCAACTAATTCCAGGGGAATCATGCCACCTCCCACCGGTAACTCTATCCGCCAAGGCTTGGACAGATAGGAAGAAATCACCTAGGCTTGGACACATGTAAGTTAAACGTCTGATTCTCTAAATCCATCACTTGAGTAGAAAAGACCTAGAAATTTATTTCATTTTAGCAATCCCACATATAAGGTCTTTTTATCCACCAGTATCCTTCTTCTAAAAAAACAAAGACAAAAAGAAAATACAAACAGCATGAATGATCAATTAAAAAAAAGTGTCCTGCCAAGAACTTTCGGTCTTTTTTTATAGAGGTTCAAAAGAGCAGCACGGATAGTGAAGATTCATATAGCCAACCTAAACTAGCTTAGGATTGAGGCATAGTTTGTTTTTTATCGTAGCATGGACATATTTATCAAAAATAATCTAGTGCGGACAAGCTTCACTTGTTTAAAGCTTACAGTAACCCTTCCCACTACCAAACATCTTCAAGAAATATGGTCAAAGCTGCCCAAGGAAAATATATATCAAGAGACAAAGACAAGCATAATTTAAATAGTCACATATCGCATCATTCCATCACAATTTTGCATCATGGTACTACAGCTATTATAGAACTTGCGGCTGTCAAACATCATTTGTTACCAAATGACAAGTATAGATCTTGGATCTAAGAATGAAATAACGGCACACTTTGTGTATCCCAATCACTGCCATAAGTTTGACTTTCATGAAGGGCTAAGGCAATTAAGGAGTAGAACAAAGAACCTGGTGGTATAAACTCCAGCAGCCAATGCAGTGACTCCGCCAACAGTCATTACCAATTTACTCCTATCAGTCAATAGAATCCGGAAACCCTCTGCAAATTGCATTTAGAAACAGTTCGATCAACTCTTGCTCTAATATGTAGAGAGTACTATTAAAAAGATGCATTAATACTGTAGAAATAGATGAATATTTTTTTCCCTTTCTCAAAATAGCAGTATATTTTTAATAGACCATTCTATGTGGTTCATCATCCACTGCCTTTCTGAAAAGCATCACGCTTTTTTTTCTTTTTACGTACTCTTTTCCTGGTCTAGCAGAAGGAACAACATTGCTAATATGATGATACAACTACAAAAATCAAGAGAGAAGAAATAAGATCCCTGAGAAAGCAAGTACTGGAGAACTAATAACAGTTTTCTGCCCCTTCTTTCTTTTC